ATACTTTGGACATGTTCCTAGAAAAGGCTATCCCTTGGATAAGGATATCGTTCTTGGAAGGTGGAGGGTCAGCAAAAGAGAGGAAGACCCCGACTGAGATGGATTGACACAGTGATGTCACAATGGGCTCAAGGGTATCAGAGATGGTGAGGATGGCCCAGCATAGGGCAGGGTTCAGGTCTGCTGTTGACAAGGTCACTAGGTCGTACTTGCCTTGATAACCCCTAACAACAACAACAGCAACTCTTACTTCAAAGAGAACAAACAGGTCTGCCTTGGAGAAAGTGAGATTACAAGGTTCATTTGAGGCAAAACCAGCAAAAATCCATCTCATATACTTCGGGCATATGTTGTTAGGAGGGACCAGTCCTTGGAGAAGAAGAAGATAATGCTTAGAAAAGAGGGGCAGTGTAAAAGAGGTAGATTTGTGACAAAAATATTTGATACAGTTACTGTTAGCAACAGGCTGAAGTGTGTCTGAGTTGGTGAGACTGGAACTGGACAGGACAGGGTTCGGATTTGCTGTTCACGGGGTTGAGATGAGTTGTACTTAGCTACCACAGCAACAACAAAGGACAACCATAGGCGTATGCAAACCATAAAACAAAAAGCGTCACAGCATCACATCCCCAATACAGAGAAGTGGCATACAAGTGTTGTACTCATAAAATCAAAACATAAAATAAGTAAGCAGATAAATATCACACAAAAAAAATTCATGCAGTGGAAATGCTTTTGTTGTTATGTGCCATTGAGTCAACTCCAACTCACAGTAATCCTATGTACAACAGCTCTGAACCCTGCTTTATCTTGAGTCAATTTCACTGTCTTTGACACACCTACTCCCCTTACCCCAGTCACTGAGCCAAAGCCACCGAAACAAAACAAAATTGTGTATCTGTCAGCCCAGCAGAAGACTGGAGTGGGAGTACCCAGTTAAGTTAGAGTTTCAGTTCATCTAAGTAGTGATCAAAGCTCTGAGATGCGAGCCAGGTCATAGGTAGCACCTCTTCTGGTCTAGGGTGTGTCAAGGGATGGGGCTCCTAGCCTGGGGCACACTTTCTGCTGGCTTCAGATGAGTCACTGGAACAATAGGCAGCATCACGACAGAGAGAACACTGACATTGTCAATGATTTAGTATTTTTTTGGATCCACAATCAATGTCCATAGTAACAGCAATCAAGAAATCAAAAGATGTCTGTCTTTGGAAAATCTACTGTCGAGGACCTCTCCAATGCGCTAATGATCAAAGATGTCTGTTTAAAGACTAATGTGCACCTGATCCAAGCCATGGTACTTTCACTTGCTTCCTAAACATCTGAAAATTGAACAAAGAGTAAGTATGAGAAAAGAAGAATTGATGTCTTTGAGCT